GCTCTTCCCCACTCCAGATACCTAATCCTAATGCACTTAGCAGGCATCACATTAGGTTTTTCCTCCATTTTATCAAAATTCTTCAACCTTGCAAAGCCACCACACTTCTAAATAATGAAAAGGTCTTCTGGGGTCTGGATCCTGTGAGGATGTAGGTCATTTCTCTGTTCAGGGTATGGGATTTTAAGTTTTTGTGCCTGAGGATCCTACTCTCTTTGTGTGCTGTACAAAATTCTGATACATTTAAATTACATTCATGAAATTCTTGAGATCAGACACCCAAAAAAAGATTTTCCAACACTAATTTTATGGTCTTGTCGAATTCTTTTGTTATATGTACCCCTAGATGATTTACAGTGGCCACCACTGGGTATTAAAATGTATGAGTTATTGAGGTCCAAAAGAATTAATCTAGAGCATATAAGAGTTCAGCCTGTGCTAAAATATCAAAGCCTCACCGGGACTGGAGGTTACATAATGTGTTAAAATAATAACTGGGCATGATAATGTCATGATTTAAGCCCAGATGGTAGCTTGGAACCACACAGCCACTCGCTCACTTCCCCCCTTTCTGGGGGGATGGGGAGGAGAATCGGAGGAATGTGACTCCTACGGGTTGAGATAACAGCACTCCAGTAACTAAGGTATAATACAGAACCACTACTGCTACCACCAATAATAATAATGCTAAGGGAAATAACAAGGGGAGAGGATACAATTGCTTGCCACCCGCTGACCAATACGCAGCCCGACCCGAGCAGCGATCTGGGCCTTCCGGGTAACTCCCCCCAGTTTCTATACTGGGCATGACGTGCTGTGGTATGGAATACCCCTTTGGCCAGTTCGGGTCAGGTGTCCTGCCTCTGCTTCCTCCCGGCTTCCCCTCCTCCCTGGCAGAGCATGAGACTGAGAAAGTCCTTCATCAGAGTACATATTACTTAGCAACAACTAAAAACTTTGGTGTTATCAGCTTTGTTCCCAGGCTGAAAGTCAAAACCACAGCACTTCACCAGCTACTAAGAAGGAGAAAAAATGACTGCTGTAGCTGAACCCAGGACAGATAACTAAAAAATTTCATTAATTCTACAAATACGTTTATATTTTTGTCATTAAAAGAATAATTATATTGATTTATTTGCACATCACAAACAGTGAATAATGTCTCTGTTACATTTAATTCCCCTTTTTCTTAAAATCACATTATATCAGCCATAGATCAAAAGGCTTATTGCAGTATACCTTGTGTTGATAGCTATGCATTAACATCTGCTTTTTTATGTACATCCATTTAAGAACACTGAAATTAAAGTGGGTAGTGCTCCGCCTACTTCACCTGTCTCTCCTTTTTCTCTCCTCCAAGGTATAATCAAGACTGCTTTGCCAGACATGAGCAGAGAAAACAGGGAACAGTATCAAGTGGTCATCCAGGCCAAAGACATGGGAGGCCAGATGGGAGGACTATCAGGGACCACAACTGTGAACATCACGCTGACTGATGTCAATGACAATCCACCTCGCTTCCCCCAGAGTACGGAGCATCTAATAGTTCTGCTGTTTTCCAAGATCCCCTCCAAAATCAGCTGTTCCAATGTCACTATCTGGGATCTTTTTTCTCCCCTTTTTTAAAGTATAAATAGATTCATGTAATGGTTTGGGTTGGAAGAGACCTTAAAGATCATCTAGTTCCAACACCCCTACCACAGGCAGGGACATCTTCCACTAGACCAGTTTGCTCAAAGCCCCATCCAACCTGGCCTTGAACACTTCCAGGGATGGGGCATCTACAGCTTCCATAGGCAGCCTGTTCCAGTGTCTCACAACTTTCATAGTAAAGAATTTCTTCCTAATGTCTAATCTAAATCTTCCCTCTTTCAGTTTAAAACCATTCCCCTTTGTCCTATCACTACATGCCATAGTAAAAAGTTCCTTTACAGATTTCTTGTAGGCCCTCTTTATGTATTGGAAGACTGTTATAAGGTCTCCCTGGAGCCTTCTCTTCCCCAGGCTGAACAAGCCCAACTATCTCTGCCTATCTTCATTGGAGAGGTGCTCCAGCTCTCTCATCAATTTTGTGGCCCTCTCCTGGACTTACTTAGGCAGATCCATGTCCCTCTTGTGTTGGGGTCTCTGGAGCTGAACACAGTACTGCAGGTAGTGTCTCACAAGGGAGTAGTAAAGGGGGAGAATCACCTCCCTCGACCTGCTGGCCATGCTCCTTTTGATGCAGCCCAGGATACTGTCGGCTTTCTCGGCTGCAAGAGCACACTGAAGCCAGCTTATGTTGAGCTTCCCGTCAACCAACACCCCCAAGTCCGTCTCCTCAGGGCTGCTCTTAATCCAGTCTCTACCCAGCTTGTATTTGTCCTTGGGATTGCCCCAAACCAGGGGCAGGACCTTGCACTTGGCCTTGTTGAACTTCATGAGGTCGGCATTGGCCCACCTCTTAAGCCTCATCCGTCTGGATGCCATCCTTTCCCTCCAGTGTGTTGACTACACCACACAGCTTGCACTCAATCCCATTGTCCAAGTTGCTGACAAAGGTGTTGAAGAGCAATGCTGGCCCACTGCTGTGTCTGTTTATGTGACAGCATTTTTAAGGCAAATGAGAATCCTCCACTTTTTTAATAGCAAAATATTTCTTAGAATGATAAACTTACTTCCCATTCTTACTGTGCTTACAGGAATGTGAATGGTAACAATAACCTAGGCTAACTTCAGGGACTTGAAAGCCTTTAAAGGAATTTAATTACAAAATATAGAGTTCCATTTTTGGAGATAATTTTAGTTCAACATTTTTAAGCAAGCAAATAGGTCAGCAAATCTTCTAAGGTACCACCTTGCAGAGTCGATCATGTGTTGTTCTCTGCTGGAAGTCTTAGCATTTGGTTTAGCTACTTGTGATCTGTGTTTAGCTCTTGATGTTGAAAGATTCTGGTAATCTAGACGAGTTTGACACAATTAAGTTTTTTAAAAATATCTCTATAGAATGAAAAGTGGCAAACAGAAAGCTGCACAATACAGAAAGCTTCTCAGTAATGTACTACATACTTTAATCCTAGGCCAGTCATTTAAATCCAATCCCAACCTGTTTTGATTAGTGCCTTATAACCTTTTGATGGGCTGCAGATAGAAGACATTTACAGCCTCACTTCAGTGCCTGCTGCTAAAATGTCCACATTATAAAATTTGAATTGCTTGTGAGCACTTATTAGGGATCTGACTGGCTCTCTTTAGTGAACAAACAGCTGATTTAGAAAACTCTCTCTGGGGCTTGAAGAAACTTGAAAAACACTTCAGTACAATGGCAATAAGTACACTCAGAATAGTATATAAAGGTCAACCTAGAAGAGATTTTTAAAAATATGAGAAAATTCTGACAGTGTTGAAGAAAGGATTTTAGAAATTGCATATATCTTTTTTTATCTCTGTTCATAACAGATTGCTTTTTAAAAAGAGAGGGTAGGGGAAGTACTGCAGTCCTCACAAAGAACATATAACTTGAATTCACAGAGTTTACTTGTTGAGAATCACCTTCACATGTCAAATTCAAACAACAATTTTTACCTGCCTTACTGTTTGATTTCAGGAGGGGATACTGCTTAAACATATATACTTGATATAACCATAATATTTTGCAAATAAGAATTCATGAACCTAAATTAAAACGCAGTGTAGCACATTGCATTATGAGCTCTGTTGCTGAATTAAATTTCAACACTTCCTAGGAAATCAAACATAAAGAAACATCTGGAGGTTTTGATTTCATCTTAGATTAGTTGTGAAGAGGGGCATACCTTCAAAGAACTATCTAGTTCTGGAAGTTTTCTCTTTCAAAAAATAATTATCTTCCATTTTCTCTTATGTGAGGCAACAATACATGAAAACGTAACTCAAAGCTGAGGGTGAATTGCAAATGCAAGCAACAGGAATTAATGTCAAGGTACAGAAGAACTCAAGATTGATTTTTTAGAGGTACAGAACAAAGGAAAATGGCAGTGGACTGCAAACTACTGGTTGTTCCAACTGCATTAAGAAGAAACAAATTTTCATTTTGTTTCTTGAAAGGAATTTTGGATAGTTAAAAGACACGCCTAAACTGAATTTAAATGGCACCATAATAAAAATCTCACAAAGTTTGAGTTCAATTGCACTCTAACCCAAATTAACCATCTAGCATGCTGAAATGTGTAACATTCACACAGCACCACAAAAATGAGGACTGCTTTCAGATGTAAAAGCACTAAAGACAGTTAGTTATTCTGGAATAAATCATAAGTAGCATCATTGAATCTGTTCTTACAGTATTTCTAGCTCACTGGCTGAACCCTTGAATTTGAGAAAGCCTTCAGACTTATGATTTAGCTCCCAGGAATACTAACTTTCATCTCATTTTCAGCCTGGTTTAAAGGAATAATATGCATTTTAGTCTGTGTGGATTGCAGCCAAACTGTCTACTGCTGAGTTTTCACTTACAACCTTGTAACAGCAAGTGCAATTTAGCATCAAGCATTAGCTTCCATTTTGTTATACATCTATTTAAACATGAGGCATTTACACTGACACTCTTTTGTATTTAGTCTGTACAGTTGATGATGGAAACTCCTTCAGAACTTAGACTTTTGGTTTATTCATTGAACTTAAAAGGAACTTTCAGGACCCTATAAGTGTCTTTAAAGAAAACAAAGGACATGTAAATACAGGAAATAGGCTGGCTGCAAGAAAGACACTTGACTGTAATTCACTACAGGCCAAAACAATTTATACATCTTCTTACTAGACCCTTCAAATAAGGATTGCAAATTTTAACACATGACAATTTTGTCAGACTCTAAAGGTTTTTTTCCAATCCTACGAGTTCATTCAGTAAATTAAAATTAACTTACATGAGAAAACAGATTTAAAGAAACATCAGATTCTGGAATGTCACATGCAAAATACTGAATATATCAGTTTGGGTTTTGTGGGTTTTATTACATTTTCTTGGTAGCAAATAACTGAAAGTTTTGATTTAGAAACATTTGTGTCTTGCTAGTGATAAAAGATCTTCATTGTCTAGTTCTGGCTAGTCAAGAAAACTATTTGGTTAATAATTTTTCTGCAACAGCATGTCTTTATAATTAGATTTTTATTGCATATGTTGTCAGAAAATACATACACATTCAGGTTTTTTTTGTCTATAATCAGATTTCTTTCTAGCAAAGCCTGATTATAAAAACATTAAATGAAATCAACCATTGAAAGAGCACAAAAAGTACATGTAGAGTAAATTAAAAAAAATCTAAATGAATCTCCATTGCAATTAACTATAGCAATTAACATCAACATGTATCCACATGCTTTTTATCATGACTCTTTAGTATGTATTACCAATAATGGATGAATGAATTACTTTCACAGAGAACACCTACAAATCTTGAATATATTTTTTCAAAAGAATAAAAGAAAGCCTATTCTATTTTATTCTCTTTCAAAAAAATCCACACTGGTTTCTACAAATCTTGTGCCCTGAGAAAACAAAACAAAATCTCTTACTATTTCTAAATATATATATAGAAACACTTCTAGAAAGCAGATAAATATACATATATGTATAGAGTTAAATAATCAAGGTTAGAACTGGTACCCCCCAACAACAACAATAACAAACCATTAAAAGCACAGTAGTAAATGGCTTTGAAGAATCACTTAACAGTTTTGTGACAGTTTGTCAATCAACTTCAAACTCTGTTTTAAAGCTTAGTGTCATGACTAACAACATTTCTCTTACAGTGTTTCAAACTTCAAATTACTTAAAAAATCAGGTGAAACAGAAAATATTTTTTATTCAAACGACAAAGCTTCTCAGAACAATAAATACTTGATTTTGCTCTTCTAGGTACCTACCAGTTCAGCTCTCCTGAGTCTGCACCACCTGGGACTCATCTTGGCAGAATTAAAGCCAATGACCCTGATGTGGGTGAAAATGCAGAGATTGAGTATAGCATCTCCAACGGGGATGGATCAGACATGTTTGATATCGTCACTGACAAGGACACACAGGAAGGGATTATAACTGTCAAAAAGGTTCATTTTTTCTCCTTCTCTATGAAATTAGCTCTCCAGATGTTACAGTTATTTTTCTTTTTCCAGGGGAAGGAAGGGTAGATTTCACAAGGGGTCAGGATGCCAAGGAGTTATGGTATTAGTTTTGTCCCTCTCTTTCTTCAGTATCTGTTATTTTCGAGTCTCGGGGGAAATTTACTGGCATGTCATTTCACATACAGCAATATTTCAGTTGCTACTGTCTGTTCAGTATATATACTCTCACACACAGTACTTTCAAATTAGGGCTGTGAAAACCTGGAGGGGTTCAGTACACCGTGGGGTTTGCCAGCTCACTGCTGCTGTAAGCCTCACAAGGCTTGGAGGCTCAGCTGAAGTTTGATGAACTTACACCCCCAAGGCTAAACTGTCCCTCTTTAATTTGTCCAACAGTCTAGTGTCTCTAGTACATAAAATCTGTCTTGGTTTAAGTCCAACCTTTGTGAAACACAGTGTAACATATTATGTCAATGGAAGTCCGAAGAAATTTAATTTGAAATACTATCACTGACAGATTTATTGGTTACTTTTTTAATGTTTAGACTGTTAAACTCTGAACACTATTTTTGGTTCTATTCTTACTGAATGTATCAGTAACAATTGATATCTACATATATATCTCTCTAATATAGATTTATACACATATATTTGGAAAAATGCATATATTTATGTATATTCATGTGTGTGCATATGAGTTTATATATCAATATGCATATATGGGTATGCATAATATAAATGTCACACAAATTGGAAATCAGACTTTGTATTTTTTCTTTTCACTCTGGAATATGGAGGCCAAAGACAGGTCTGGGTTGTTTCTGATGCAACATAGACAAAGGTAAATGGTAATGGGAGAGGAGTAAGTAAAAGAGAAACAGAACAGAGAGCATTTAAGAGCTGGGATAGTTGTTCTTGTTCCTACCAATGACACAAGACAAGTAAGACCTTTAGCAGCTCCCACTGTAGACTGAGTTCAACTTCCCTTTTTCTTTCTCTCTTTCTATTTTTCTATGGGTTTGTTTTCTATGGGTTCTCCTGGTTTTCAAGGAATCTGAACAAGTAGTAGGCAGAAGGATCATAATCGCCTTGCAGGTCTATAATACTCCCTATTGTTATCATAGCCAGAATACATCCTAATATACTCCATCTTCACTAAGATGAATTTAATTTTAGAGCTTTTGCTCCTAATAATGCCTACACTTCTCATTCAGCATTACAAAACTGACTCAATTTTCTTGTAAAGTGATGTAATTTTCTTTATTATTGTTATTTGCTCCCCAGCATCTGGATTTTGAAAGTAAGATGTTATATACCTTAAGAGTGGAAGCCACCAACACTCATCCTGATCCTCGTTTTCTTCAGCTGGGGCCATTTAAGGACACAGCTTTGCTCAAAATTTCTGTGGAAGACATAGATGAACCTCCAGTGTTCAGCAGACCCTGGTATTTAATAGAGGTAGATGAAGATGCTAAGGAAGGAAGCATTATTGGACAAGTTGTAGCCCAAGATCCGGATATAACAAAGAATGCTATAAAGTAAGCCATTACATAATATAAAATGCTTTAGCTGCTGGTCAGGTCTCATGTGCAAAGCATAATGAGAATGCAGTGTAACAGGGGGCCACTCAAGTAACGAAGCTCATAGGGGCTGCAGAAAAGTGTCACACAGAGAAATATCTGTGGGAACTTGTGAAGGCAAACACAGTTAACAGTGCAAGGTATGCTTTTGAAGGCCAGCGGATAGTCAACAGGTAAAACAAAAGGAGAGGTTAGCAATTAACTCGCATCTGTTCTAGTACTTCCACCAACTTTTCATAAGATTATGATTTTATACCACGTTTCCAGTGGCAAACATATGTAACATACTCAAAATGGTGGTGTATTTCTACACTCCCTGCTGGTTGTTAACAGTCAGCCTTCTGTACCTTCATAATGCCCTAGACATAACATTGTCTACCATGTTTCACTGTTTAACTATTTAATTATCACATTATATTAAATAAGAAATGTTTGCAAGAAAGTCATAACAATTACAGGTAAGAGTTTAGTGTCATGAAATTGCTGTAATTGTCAGCCATCTGTTATTATTATGTGCAATGACAAACACAGAACTGAAGTTCGTGTATTTACCATGCGACTAATTATGAAACCTGATTTCTGCACTTCTGAACAAGCCTGTTATGTCCTGCAGCAGTACAGTTTGAGGTAGGAGGTGTGAGAGGAGGAAGTAAAAATATTTTTAAGTAATCTATGTATAAAATCTCAACTTAACCTGGTACTGACTGCTAACTAGTAGATTAATTAAAACACACATGTAAAACAAGTTTTTCTTTGCTGGGAAAAATAAAAGCAAAAAGCAAGTGACATAAAATAAGATTTTAAGAATTTTTATCTTAAACAACAACTAATCCAAAGATTTTTCTGGTGATTTTGATGGTCCTTGTGACATCTTGAAAATATCTTATGGTAAATTGATACTTAATTGTATTTGTAATATGTGTCCTTTCATGACATGTTTCTCCCAGAAACAATCAATTCACAAAAAAGTTACCTGAGAATGTTCACTTTTAGTTGTTACTCCAGTATTCACTTTATCAGCTAAAACACAATTTCAAATATGAATCTAACAAACTGCCCACATAAATAGTTTGCTCTTCATTCTGCTTACTACTCTTAAAAAATTGTTTCTAGTATTTGTAAACTCCTCAGGCAGCTACAGGAAAGCGTAGGTTAATTCTAAAAGACCACAGTTCTTAACCACAGATAAAATTAGAAAAATTTAGAGGTGGCTCTGAGCTAAACTAGAGGCCGTAACAGGAGATAGTGATGCTCAATTGTATGGTATCTTGACAGATACTCTGTGGATCGACACACTGACCTTGACAGAGTATTCAACATCTATTCAGGAAATGGATCCTTATTCATCTCAAAGCCACTTGACCGGGAAGAAACTCCCTGGCACAACATCTCTGTCATAGCAACAGAAATCAGTAAGTTGCAGATCATCTATCTCAGTAGAACTGAGGACTGAAATTCTACAGTATCTATGATTTATCTTGTTTCATTAGTTCTGCTCTTATTAAGATATCAGTAGACAGAGCATCTTTAAATGCATATCTAAAAGTTCAATTTACTACTTTGGGACTATCTTTGCCCATTTATGAAAGGACAATTAGGAGTTTTTGGCCTCAACAAAACCATGTATAGTATATGTTAGACAAGGTAACTGGTTCCCTGAGAATTCCCATCTAATAATTTCATTCAAAGTGATGTTCTGACTTTATCCTAAGCTAAGTCTTTGGAAAAATCCTTGGAAAAAAAATATGTCAGTGACAGATATATAACACATTTTCAGAATTAGCAGTGTAACCAGGAGAAGAAATTATTCTTTACCTCAATTGCTTTATCTCAGAAAATGGCTTCATTTGAAGACAGAACTAGAGGAAATTCTCTCTACTCCATGTCTGAAACAAACCCTGGCCCTGAGTATTTCGTCTGGATTCTTTACTGTTCAGTTGGGCCCTTTTGAAAGATTTGGATGTCTCTTTTTTTTTTTTTCCTTCCAACCGGTAACAGTCATCAGAGGGGAAACAGACACACTGATTTTAGGGAACAACTTTTCTCTCTTCCTTCATTCTCCCTACAGACTGCCCAGAAGTTTATGTGCTCAATGGTCTGGGGGTCAGCTAATATGGAGAGATTAATTATATCTCCATTTTCAGAAAGACTGATGTGCACCCTCAAAAATACTTTTTCATTGTTTGGTCAAATATGGTCTCCATTTTTGATGTGTGTACTATGAGACTAATCTCCAGTGAGAGCTTGACCCTGGAGGTCAAGTTGTAAAAACCAGTGGATGATAACATCTACATACCTTCTTTTTTGTTTGGGTTTTTTTTTTTTTTTACACCTTGGGGAGAAAGGACAACTTTGGTTTGCTGGTTTTGAGGTCTTTTGTGTGTTGTTGTTGACCAGCACTGTTTAACTCGTTTACTGATTTGAACAAGTTAATGTTCTTGACAGCTTGACATCAGGAAACAGCTTTTGTAATGAATAATTTACTGTACTGACATATGGAATACAAGTCAATAATAGCTCAGTGACCTGTTTTTAATACAAATCAATTTATATATTTCATATTATTTCAAAATATATATACTGAAATAGAATAATTTGTTTCAAGTATAAATAGTGCTTCCATGCATATAGAATGTATGTCAGTAGAACGTGAATTATAATTGGTTTAGTATAATCAAGAAAAATAAATATTTATAATGTCTATTGGAAAAAATATATTGGATAATTTCAGTTCTTTTCATAGACTGTAAAGCTTTCTATTGTAATATAAATAATTTTCTTGTTTCAGATAATCCTAAACAAAGTAGCCAGATACCTGTCTTCATCCGGATTTTAGACATAAATGATCATGCACCAGAATTTTCCAAATACTATGAAACATTTGTTTGTGAAAATGCAAAAGCAGGACAGGTAAATGAATACTTATGTTACTGAAGAACTTGTAATGAAACTATCCTGGAATACCATCTTGAAGACTTCAGCATATCTTAATTTGAACAACGGCAAACCAACGCAGCCTCTAACCCCTACCTTCTACACAAACTACCAGTTGATTAAAAAAAGGAGGAGATAAAAGATGCAACATTTTACCCTAGTCTAATAACATAGCATATAATACAAAATTGTAGTTTAAGAGTTTTTTCATTCCTAGTATCAGAAAATATTTTTCAGAACTATTTAGGCATAATACTAAAAAACCCCTTATACTGTTTGATAATTACATTTATTTCTGGATTTTTTTCAAAACCGTAGTTAATATAGCCACACCTTCAAGTACACAAACCAGGAATATCTTTTATTATGCTTCGGTAAAGATGTGAAAAATAAACTTTTACATTTTACAAAAATGAAAAATAATGTAACTGTTTCCATTGTAAGTTAAACTTCAGTTTGGAATTGGGTTGAATTTGGTCAAAGTTCACGTATATCCCTTTTTAAACTATCTCATCATAATCTAAAAAGACAATAACAAGTATTGTAGAGAAATTGAAGTGATAATTTTGAACTGAGAAAGGAGGCAAATCAACGGAACTCAGAGCCAGGATACTACATGAATCTTTTAATATTGCTGACATTACAACTAACATTTATGCTAAAGCCAGTCAGCCTTTCAGTTTTAAATCCTGTGAAGAAAGATGTAAGTTTTGCTGATTTTTAATTCTGTATTTGTGAAAGAACTGGATTTAATAGGAGATTGGGTACCTTGAGATTGCCTTTCAAGAATGAGCCAAAGTTCATAGACTCCAAATAGATGCATTTTTGAGTAGAAGAAAAGTCTTGAGATCATTATTTTTGCTAGCACAAATTAGAGTGAGTTCCTACTGTAGTGCAGAAAGGCCAGGGTGGAGCCTTAAACTCATCTTAGGTCTGTCCTTGTGCCTCACTGGTTTTATGCTGACATCATCCAACTGAATTCATGGAAAGTACATAGAAAGGATCAGAATGTGGGACGTTTTGTTTGTCCTTAGAGCATAATGACCATACAACACTCAAAAGCTTTTCAGGGCTGGGGCATATGGATACCCATCAGGAAGCGTGGTCATCATTTACCTTGGTTTCTGACCAGTGTTGTATTCAACATAGTCAGGGGCCTGCACTAAAAGTAACATAGATGGTGTCTGAGATGAGTCTAGAATTTCAGGTCATGCAGAATTCTAGACAGATCAATAAAATGCCATTTACCAGTTGCAATTCAAATGATGTTTTATGAATGGTTTAACTTTAAAAAAAAAGAGAGAGACCAAAATAGGGAGAAAAAGAGTATACAGTGGATTGTTGGAGTTGCATTCAATTCTACTTATTTTTTGTTCATTGCACCTAATACTGGAATTTAGGTAAGTAGGTTTGAAAGACAGGAGATACTTTGAGTGAAATCACTTGGCTTTGGACAGGTACTTGACCATTCTTTTAATTATTTTTTAAATAAAGTCTTACTAATTTTTATGCAAATGACATAAATAGAGTCAGGAGAGAGAGGATATGCATATCAAAGGCTGTGATGAATTAAAACCATGGAAAAAATTATAATACCAGAAAAATTAACAAAGAACATTTTTCAGAACAACTGGAGTTTATGATTAGAACATGGTGTCTTAACAGTGACATAAGTTGTCACATAAGAATACAGTTCAAGCCTTATAGAATGAGAAAAATTTCCCTAAATTTCCATTTATTGTACCCTCATAGTTTTGTTTTGTGATTTATAAGCTGTTTTTCCAAGTGGACTACATGCAGATAATTCTAGCCATTAATTTCAAAGAGCTGGCATATCAACTAAATTCTACCTGTGAAAAAAATCTCTTTGAACAAAATGAAATTCAGACAAATAAATCTTAAAATTTCAGTATCTTAACTGATAACAAGGTGAGCCATGTACTTTAATTTCATAACACAAAGAAAGGTTCTAAAGCTTACAAATGAAAATTTCATTGAAATTAATCATGTGCAATTTTATCAACCCGCAAACAGAGGTTTAGTCATATATTTGAGCCAAGTTTAATCCAGGCATACTGCTTGTCAGTTTCCTTAACCCAATTTCCGCCTAGTCTAGCATACTTGATGAAATATCTATTAATATATAAAATTTCATTTACCTTTCTGGTAAATTCTGTGCTTTTGTAACAACAGAGATGGCAGAGGCCCATTAGGTAGGTGTATTGATGTTCAGATCTCCTTTATATCTGGCTACGAATGTAATTTCAGGAACTGTTTTCCTTAATTGGAAAAATTCACAAAAATACTACAATGAGAGTGTCCACAAAGTGTAGCTGCAGGAGAATGAGACATCCAGACTGTTCTATCTGTTAAAAATCTGATTCCTTAAAATAGGCATCTGAGTTCATATCTGGACATTTAGATATAGTTGATTAAGTATTTCAGAAAAGAAATTACCTTCCGTACATAAGACTACTTTTATTTTGGTCTCTAAAAATAGCAGTGAATATAGATGTACAAACTTGAATATTTTGGCCAAGGATGCTAAGTTCTAGTTAGCCTGTATCACTCCTGTTTAGCGGTCCCCCTATAATACAATAAAGATACAGAATTATGCTATGTCCATTTAGTACTACTCCTTATTTTAACAATCACCTAAAGCAATTGTCTTACTAGAATCATTATTGTTTCTTGACACATCACGGCAGTGCTTCTACCTCTGAAGCCCATAGCAGGAAAGCCAGACTGAAAAGATAAATGTATTTAGTTAATTTTTCAGATTTCTTATTTTAAAACAGGCCTAGCTATTAATCACACCACTCTCTAAATCTCAGGTGCCTCAGGAGTCAGTCAGAATGATCAAATATTGCTCTCTGCCATCAAGTGTCATTACTCATTCTCAACATCAGCTGATGTTAGAGGCTGCATTTTTTGTTCATCAGGTAACGTTAAGAGGGTCAGAGGAAAGAAAACACTCCAGATTCTTTCCTCTTCCCCTGCCACTCTTTTGCCTCCGAGCAACAATGTTATGACTGGGGAGAAACATTATCACTAGAGGTGTATAAATAACTACATTCATTAGGCTGGAACAGATTTGTCACCATGCGAGTCCTGGCTAAAGAGAAGTATGCTGCAGCCTTCCTTTCAAACAATTTAGAAATCCCTCATCCTTTGATGGCATGCTAGATCCCCAGGGACTGTTGTGGGGAAGGCTCTCATACAAGTTCTCTCATGCTCTTGCCAGGGAATTAATTGGGTCTTTTTTACTGGATTAGAGGATGAGTCCTCTCCATGGAAACCGGGAAGATTTACGTGAAAAGGAGACTGATTTAACTGAACAAATAGCTAGTAACAATTCAGCTAATTTCAACACCCATCAATAATAATATTTAAGAAAATAACCTGTGTCACTTTTTTTGCTTTTAAACTATATTCTTTCCTGCCATACAGGGATTCTCAGACATCAGAACAGAGAAAAATTTTGCTTCCTTCTTCAGAAAGCTGGCAGATTTTTCTTTTCGTTAGTCTTCATACCCCCTCCTTTTTTCAGATGGAGCAGAAGGAGATCACATTTTTCACATGGCCATTGTTAATTTTCAGTTACGAGTTGTTGCTCCATTGTAGCTGCCTTCTCTAGGTAGAAACCTGTTGGCTTCATTTAGTCAGAGACCCATGCTAACGAAGTCTGTCTTTTGAAGTAAGAACTGAAGTTCAAGGGAGAATTTTTCGACTTCTGGTTAAGCATTCAGTTCTGCTTTAACAGTGCCAACGCATTTGTGGAACAGAGCCAAGACTTGAAAACCAAACTGTTTCGCAGTACCAAACATTAAACTTTATTAAATGGTAGACATTTTAGAATACTTCTTAAGACATAAAGCATCAAGATCAAAGGTTTATTCAAGCTTACATATATGTGACGGAGACTGCTTTCTGCAGTTGGCACTATACAGATGCATATGCTAAAATTGTGCCTGAACATGTTTGATCACTCAAGCCACAAAATGACAAACACAGTCCTCCAGTGACAGCTGGATTGATTTTGAAACACTCCTATGAGGGGACATTTGAACTATATTATTATTTTACTCATAGAGTAATGTAGCCATTTCAAAATCTTCTACAAAAATCTTTATCCTGCCCACTTACACTGTGTTGTGTTCTTAATACGTTCAAGATTAGTGAGAGATTTGCCCTAACAGATCATACAGGCAGGAAAAGAGTTAAGAGCAAGAAAGGATAGAATAAACACAAAGTTGCTCTTCAACTATTCCCTCAAAGCATTTCCACACTACCATGTTCTGATGCCTAGCAAAAGCACGGTCTCTCTCACAATATGTTTTTTTCATAGTTTATTGTAGAAAAAGTAGTGAGGTCTTTTCAGATTCCTTGAGATATATTTATAGCACAAAGCAAGTTCAATAAACTTTAAAAATGACAAAGCCAATGCTGTGAGATCCAGGATTTGTTCTGCTCTCTCCTGTACCACTTCTGAAAAAAGTGTCAGACAAAAACAAACAGGAAAATATCTCAAATATTCCTAGTAACATTTTTTAAGTTTTATCTCAGAAGCAGCTGAAAGTAGACAAATGACATTTGAGAATTTCTCTGTTGTACAATATCTAGGTTTAACTAAGAGCATAATATAACAAGAACTGATTCAAGTGGATTGAAGGTCTACTGCTCTGCATATCTATAATCACATACAAGAAACAACAAAATTCAGCAGCTTAACAACATCTGTCTCCAGTGGTCTTACTTCTCTGAGATTGGAAATATGATTTTCATGTTATGTGACAACTACGTTATTTTAAAACTTCAAAAAGGCATTGTCAACAAAACCAGACAATCTTTAAATTCCTATGAAAGTAACATTATTTCTCATTGTATTATTTATAGTGAGTTTTAAACAAAGGAATTTTGAAAAAAAAGAGAAGCTTAAAAGTATGATAGCAACCACTGATATGCTGCTGTTTTAAAAAGAAGCAGCAGCAGATTATATGACATACATTGTATTTGTCTCAAATCTTGTTTTATTAGTAGGAGTTTTCAATCAGAAAACACATCTGTCTACCCAGAGACCTCATCTTGTTCAGCTTTCTCCAATGAACCTTTCAAGAATGTCTGAAGCATGTTGCTGTGTTTTTAAATTGTGTACCCTGGATCCAGCGTGCAACGGTAGTTTATTCACATGACATGCCAAGCTAGCACAGCCTGAAAAGCCCATCTTAGAAGTGGCTAGCTGGTGCTGAACTCTATACTTTTAAAAGGTGCACTACTAGCTTAACATTTACTTTAATGTTTACTATATTCCTTTTAGAGGCAGTCTCAAGTCTGAGCCCAGCCCAAGTCTCCTACTTGTGCAGTTCTCTGTGTCCACAAATGTAGCCTCAGAAACAGTAAAGGCATGCTCTGAAGTGCACAGGGACCCTTGTTATTTCAGAATGGCTCCACCTAACTTTTACTCCCTTTCTATCTTCAAAACAGCTTGAAGAAAACTGGAGAGCAGGCTACGTCTAGGGATGTACCAGGTATATATAAGGAATCCATTACTAGGCAATCTACTCATCCCCAATAATTTTTTCAAAGATGAGTATGGATAACAGTAATATAGCCCAAACATAAGCTACAATCACAATTTTGACTGTGGCCTTAAAAATGTCATGGCCTTAAAAATACAGTATCCAGGAGAAAAAACAAACAAACAAAAACCAGAAAACAAACACCACCCTCACACCCCCAAACCAGTGTTATAATCAAACCATTTCCATATTTGACAAAATTATACCAATGGGAAATAGGTCCAACCGCCTTAACAGAATCTCTGGGTTCATCATGAAAGAAATTCTTCAAGACATCTTTCCAGTGGGAGTAATTCTTCATTCACAACTCATCTTACATTGTAGAGCTGCTACAACCAGTTTGTCCTGAGTGCAAAAGAGAAAACTAAAGTTTAAACTTTCAGCACCCTCAAAATCAAATGACCCCTAAAAACTTGAACTTTCTCAATAAGATCTACTCAGCTGTATGTGACTGTAACTGCACGTGAAGTGCACAACCCTCAAAATAATGATAATAATACTATATTTTCCAAATTGTGCTCATTCACATGGGAAACTATGGAAGAAAGAAAAACATTGGAATTTTTTTATCTTCTCTAAGCCTGATATGTGTGAAATATATTTGAGTAAAAGGCGATTTCTTGAAATAACTCTTTCCTCATAAAGCTTACATTGTCAGAGATCTTTCTCTGAACTCCTGGTGAAAAGAGATCATAACTGAATGTCCATAACTACTTCAAGAAGGGAACATGGAAGTACAAAATGTATATTAAACAGTACTATATTTTTTCATATAACTGTAATACTTGAAATAAGAATAGCCACATCTCTTTCATTTCTGCAGCGTTTCTGTCCTTAACATCATTCTTCTTTATTTACAGTTGTATAACTGGAAAAAAAAAAACTTAATTAGATAACAATTCTAATTTTCTTTTACCTATTCATCATTTGGGAAAATTCACCTGAAATCATCTTTTCTTATTGTTCTTTTATTCTCCCATCTTTCCTTGTGAAAGAACATCTGGTTCTCAATTTATGCAGCGAATAGAGCAGGTAATAAGTTTTGGGGGGTTTGTTTGGTCGGTTTTTTTCTTCTTCTTCAGTAAGTTTTCAATGTAATTAGATTCCTCTATGCTTGCTATAATTCTCCTCCTTCATGTGTTTTGCACATAAAAGGAATCAAATACAGATCCTACAAACATCCCACTGATTACATCTCAAAAAGCCCTAAGATACACAACTGCTATTTCTGGTAGCTATTATATGAGGATATTTTCTCCTTAAGTTTTTCAGCAAGTAATTGCTCAAATGTTGTCACTTATTTTACCTCTCTGATACTTTTACAATTTTTCTGTCTTTTTGAATGTGTAAAAATGTGAGAGAAAAAATTTCTTGTTTCGATTTGGTATTTTAGTCCTATCAGATTTTTTTTTTTTTTGGTAGCAATATTAAATTCTTGCATTAAACAATGCAAAACCAAAATCAGCACCATCCTGGTCTTGCTCTCTGTATTGCCACTCTTAGAGGCAGATTACAGCAAAGACAAAACCAATGGGACATTGGAAAAATGTCATACATACTGAAGAGTCTACTTTGCCATAAACAGGGATTTGGCTAATACTGGGAAACCAAAAAAAAATTAAAATATGTAAAATAAATCTAAAGAGCGATGATCATCAAATGCTTGGAAAAATGAAGAGACCTTCATATATAGATATTATTATAACCATATTTTGAAAAACTGCATAATCCTGCCTTCAGTATAGTCACATCATCTTGTACATGGCTGATATTCACAAATTACCTTCGAAGTCCTTAATATGTCTCAATTTTTTTTAATAACAACTTGATTTTATTAGCTTTAATAAAACTATTCCAAAATTAACTAGAAAAAAAATGGGCCAAATACTCATTGTGCAGTACAGGACTAGCAGCAGCAGTTTTCTGAATGATACAGTAAGAAAAACACTTCAGTATTTTTGGGAGTCCCGTAATTATGTTTCTCTAGTACAGAGTTTCATCCAGAGAGAAGCTGAACACCCTCCAAAATTTAACTGTATCCTCAAGTCCCACTCAAGCCGATGCTCAGAGAAAGTACATAAGGAAAAGGCATTCTTTACTTGATTGCTGCAAAGCTTAAAAATTATATTACTTGTCAATTACTGTATTTCTTGAAGAAGTCATGCTGTAACATCATGCTGGAAACATCAGAAAAACAAGCCTTGAAGTCTTTGATAACAAGTGGCTTTGATGTCTGTGGGATTTCAAGACACCCTACATACAGGAAACACTCAAAAACTCAAGACAGGCATTAACACTCTCATGGCTTTGAAAGAAACAAGTATGACTGTTGATATCTTTCTGCCTTAAAACTTAGGTGTCATAGGGACTCAGCTGTACTGAGTTGCAGCATCCTCAGCTGAAGCTTATTCCCATTCTTATGCCACCAACCTTTGTCATATTGTGATTGAATGCAAACATGTCCTTGTAAGCCAAGGTGGACTATGAGTCACTCTCCAGTGCGATACCCACTAAGGAGTGTAACGGACATAGCAGTCATTTATATGTCTCATTGGAGTTATTACATGCAACCTGGAGTGGTGTTATCTGCTGCAAGTCATTTCACAAATCACAGCTATTCCCAGGTATTTCCCTCCTCAGTTCTGCAGCTGTTTTTCTTAGCCTCACTCTAGCAGCAGATAGACAGAAGTCAAATTGCTAGCATATATGCATGTCTATATATACACGAGTACATATCTCTACACATGTTTTAATGCAAAAGGAAAGCCTGTGTAATCCAGAAGTACTATTGAAGCCTCTTTTTTTAAGTCCACTCTACTCTGACCCTATGATGGCACCATTATCACTCCTTCCCAGCTGAGTGGCCTTGTTAGGGCAGCTATAATGCTCCACAGACAGAGGTTTCAATTTAGGAGGGAGTAAAGCATCTCTTTTTATTACCTCAGGAGAACCAGGAATCCTGCCAGTGTACTACTCCAGTTTATTGCCAAGAGCAGATGAGGTAGACGGGGAATTAGACCCACTTAACAACTGGTTTATACACTGCTCTGTGTCATTGCTACATGAGGCCACAGGAGGTTTATGGCTTATTCACAAGGGCAATTGTTTCTGTATCACTGCAATATACTGAGTAAAAATCAAAGCACAGGGCTGTCTTGCAGTGAAACTGGTCCCTTTTTCATCCTCCTGTATGTGTTTAAACAATAAACTAACAGTTTGCTTACTGTAACCTCTTCTGTGTTTATGTGGGGTGAATTTGGCTTAGGATATCAGTTTGTGTCTTCACACAGAGATTCGCTGGATTTTTACTGGACATGAAAAGCAGGGACTTAATTTCAAACACAAGATTTCTAAAATAGCATGAAATGTTTTCTTTATAGCTAATACAAACTGTGAGTGCAGTTGACAAAGATGAGCCTCCTCGAGGACATAAATTTTTCTTTGAGTTGGTGCCAGAATTTGCTGTTCATCCGAACTTCTCCATTGTAGACAACAAAGGTAACTGCTCACCAGTACCATTCTCCTCCTTCCCCCAGCCCCAATACCACGTAATACTTCACCTAGCAACATTTATTGATTTCTGCTTTTCCGTTCT